CACACACTTACAGTAGCTTCAAAAAAGGATTAGACAAATTCAGGGAGAAACACAGATACTGATGGAACATATAAATAGGGTGATCTTGGGCACAAGGGAAATGGACTGCCGAAAGTTGCCAGGCCTCTGTGCTCCCCATAAATGGAATCTCCTACTGCCACTGTTGAGGATAGAGTAGTGGGCTAGCTGAATTACTAGTCTGATTTGAGAAGACACTTCTATGTTTTGGGTTTCTTTTGTAAAAATAGAGTAAAATATCAGATTTCATCAGATATATTAACTTACACTCACCAAGAGTTACATAGGAGCTACTGCCATTGTACCATTGTGCCTGTTAATTGTATGCTCAAGAATTACACTAACAGTTAATAAAATTATTGTATTGGATTTAAACTTTTCTCTAAGAATGGAATTGACTTTAGAATATTTAAGTGTTGTGTTTTGTTGGATTTTTTTTTTTTTAAATTATGGAGAAAAACATCTGCTAGATCTAGTCCATGTGTTAAGATTTAAACTTGTATGTAAAATGCTTGTAAGTAAAGATTAGACACTAGATTTCACAATTGTATAGCACTGAAAAGCAGACAGGAATAATTAATAGGTAAACTGGTAATAACTTACCCTTGGCCACTGCATTAGTGAAAGCAATGTAACAGGTGTCTGTACAGGAGTTGCAGTGAACTCTCATGTCAGCCTTGGTTATAAAGGAATGTTTAGGCATTCTCAAAAAGTGGCCTTTATGGGGGGACATGAAGCTGTCTTTTTAGTTCACAGTTTCTATTATTCCAGGCTTTTGCAAAAACAATGGCTCAATGGCTTGAGCACTGTTAGATGCATGACTCAGACAGAAAGTACAAAGCAAATTTCAATAGGGTGGATTTTCTCACTCTATAGAAAGATCAAAAAGATTTCTACTCACTTCCACTTTCTACAAAGCCTTCTAGGTTGGTTATGAAGTGAGGCTGATTACGAACTTCAATAGGTCTAACAGTTGGCCATTGTACTGAAAGGAGTTATCATTTCCTACATAAATAAATGTTCAACAAACTTTAAAGGTGCATATATTGTACTTTGCCCAACATACGGTTCTCAAAGAACTATAAATCTCAAAATTTTAGGCGTTGCAATAAAAATCTAGAGGAAAAAGAAAGAAACCAGAAGCTTTTAATTTGTTTTTTAATTTTAGTCCAGAGTTTCTGTTTCATTCAAAACAGAATTTCAATACCGTATCAGTGCTTCCCTTTTCTACCTTCCCTCTTACCCAGGCAACTGGGTACTCCTTACAGTATTTTCTCCATGTGGAAGAGATGGAGAGAAGAGGATGAGTCTGTTGTCTTAGGAGAACAACTTAGGAGGAGTTCTCTTAGGACAAAATGGGAAGATGAGTCTCTCTAATCTTAGGGAGAAGATGAGTCTGTTGTCTTTCACCCTTTTCACCCTGTGTCCTCCACTGAGGCTTATACTGTGGTTTCTTTTCGTGTGGATTTGGACACTCCACTTGCTGGAACTCATCTGAGGTTTTTGCCACCTGGGAGAAGGGCAGATGAGGGTGAGGCTGGACTGTAAGCTTGGCTCCTGCAGCCCCAGCTCCAACAACCTGCCTCATTGCAAGGTGTGGTTAGATGGACTGGATATTTGTATCCAGCTAACAGTAAATATGCACCTAGGTTAAAGTAAAAAAATCAGGCTGCAGTGAAAAAGAACAAAGACTAGAGTGTCATCAGACACTAGAAAAAAACCTAGCTTATGGAAGAAGTTCCATCTACTCTTTTTCCTCCAAAGGTGTGAAGTCAAAAACAAGACAGGAGGTGGGAACTTCAAGGGGATCGTGTGTGGCCCGAGAAAGACATTCCTCTAAAGAAACTTCTCTGAGCAACATCTCAGCATTTGTTGTGAACTGCAAATGTTATCAGCAATGCTCTATGATTCTCTGAATGTCTGAATTCAACCTGTTTTCCACCTGGGAATGAGGCAGCAAGTGCCTTTTGTAGGTCAGCCACTGCCTTTGCTTTGCGGCAGGAGCTCCCCCCCCCCGGGGAAGGGGGCAGCAAGGCCCTTTTGGAGGCCAGCCACTGCCTTTGCTTTGCGGCAGCAGCTCCCCCATCGTCACAGCGGGCAGATGAAGCTTCTGCTGTTTCATTTTCCTCTCCCCACTGGACTTCGTTGAGCTGTGTTTGAGCCCAGGGAAAGTTGCAGGGCCTAGCCCAGCCAAAAAAGAGTGGAGGAAAAAACTAAACCCACACCTATTTCTGGCAGGCCTGCTAGGTGCATGCAGTAATTTGTGCTAGGTGGCCTTTTGTCCCTAGAAACTGCCCGTATGAAACATAATTTAACTTCCCTGTGGCTTCGTGCCTAACTTTATCAGTCCTGAAACAAAAGTAGTGTAGACAGAAGCACAGGGCTTCCAGCTGCCATGCACATGGCAACCGGGCACAAATTGCCAAAGTCTGGCTGAACCCTCATGCATCTAGACAATGCCTGTCTGCCTTTAGCACAGAGCCCCCGGAAAAGATCAGTGGGCATATTTTGTAAAAAACATTTTTTAAAAAACTCAAACTATTCGATTGAGACAACTAATAAGGAGGATCATCTTTATTTAAATGCTGTACCATAAGACTGTAACCGAAACAACGGCAGAAAATTAAATAGGACATATAGATAAAAAGTAGGCATTTCTTCAGACCTTTTGTACTTTCATAATTTGCATTTGTATTTACTATTCCAACAAATTTACTTCATTCAACAGCTTTTGATATGCATTCAGTTGCGGCAATCCAAATAAAGTGCTTTTCTTTGCCTGGTTTTTAGAGACCTGTCACGAACAGAAGGTGACTTTTCAGGAGATGGTAGGACTGACAGCTGGCTGCAGACCCTCACAGTGCTGTTCTCACCTGAGCAAGTGACAGCTCTGTTGCATCCAAGATGAAGAGTCACTGCAGAAGCAGGCTCTAACAGACTGCTTCAGGCATTCTTACAAGTGCAAACACGCAATATGTCTATTGTGCATGTAATGAGTCACCTCAAACAGAAAATGTGTGTCGTGCCAGATTATACAGAGGTTTTGTGAAAATAAATATTCCCATTGAGGATTAGCATGAGACCAGAAGCTACGCCAAATTTGACTAGTCTCTAAAGGCCAATCTTGTTCCTTAAACCAGATGTTTAGCAAGATGTTGTGACATCTGAAGAGACCAGCAGACACAAAATATATGCAGTGTATGCTGACTCAGAATGAGATACATAATTTCAGAGAGTTAAAATACAATTTCTGAAGTGTTATAAAATTCTTTAAATCACTTTCCCCAATGCTCCTTCACACGTTGCACAAATAACCACAGTAGCAAGACATAATTTATGTTTCGGAACATCCCCCTTTTCTCTTTTTTAGTGTCTATTTAAAGGGAGGCCAGTGTGATTAGTTACTGGGGTTACTTATTTCCCTGAGATAAATCAAGAAGTGAGAGTGGCAAGCGAGTACATCAAATCTCCCTGTGCCCTTCACAGGCAGCTTCTCATCAGTGGCACTTGACTGATCGTCTGCTTTGGTAATTTTACATTTTCAGCTTTTCTAACCTATGTAATTTCTTTTGTTTAGCTACCTCTTTTCTCTTGCAGACCTGACAACTTGAAATTAAGGGTTATTCAGTCAATAAGGAACATGAAAAATATTTCAGTCACACAAGTTCGGAGTTTTTTGACAGATCCTTATTTTCAAGAACGCTAGTGGAGAACAAGTACATCCACACTTTGCTTTTAGAACCAAAAAAATGACACTGGAAAAAGATATAGTAATATCACAGAATCATAGAATTTTAGACTTCCAGTGCCCTTGGAGGGAAGTGGCAGGAGGCACTTCCCAAACTTCATGGCTGGATGCTGGAGGAAGCCCCACTGGAACCTGTGTCTCAGAGGAGAGTTTGTTTGTCCTCAGCTTCATCAGTTTGCCATTAGGTTATTGTAATGGAAAGCAGACAGTGATCAGATCATGGTCAGGGGACAGGAGTATAACCATTACACTCCTCATGGCATGGTAACCCCAGGATCATCTGACTTCCACATAGACATTGGGACTTCTGCTGTAAACAAGAGTGTTCCTCAACTCCCACCTACCCCGTGACTTTCCTACCACCTCTTCCTCTGCTCAGACGTGGAGTCACACTTGAGGAATGCGATGGGAACAGGAATTGATGGTCTGCTGCGTGGAGGGAAGGCAGAGAACTAAAAAATCTTATGAGGTTTGTGATAGCAGAACCAGCATATGACCTGCTGCCGCATCTCTTGCCTGACTTATTCTTAGAGATGGGTGGATGGAAAAAGGCTGAGTCACCGTCTCAGCTGCAGAAGACCAAGTTGTACAGAAGCAGCCTGCCAGCCAGGGCTCCAAGCCATACAGGATAGGAACTGCCCTATTTCTCAGAGCTCTTTGTGGCAGGTGGCTAATCCCCTCCACCCTGTCTCCCTTCGTCTGCCTCATTCTGCACTATTCTCTGAAACAAAGAACAGACTATCAGCAACAACTTAATGCCAGAAGTCCCAGGCGGCTCCTAGCAGGGATTTCAGGTTTTGCAGGCCTGGATCCCTTTTGTTTTAATGGAAATCACATGCATGAGTTATCTATTCATCAGATACTATTTTATTAGAAAGACTTCAAGAACGTTACTGAGTGATTTGTCCATATTCATTTATCACTGTCACATAATCCAGTGATGCTCTAGCACATAGTGTTCCTGATCCAATCAGTTCCTCAAGGCTGTCAGGTCCCTTGGCCCTGATCTGTGAGAGAAGAACCTGCTATATTTCATAACAAAGTATTTCTTCAAATCTACAAGCTCTTGAGAAAGTAAGATGAAACAACAAGAACTTTTTCCTGAAAAAGAATATCCAACCCAAACCATTCCATGATTCTATGATTCTTAGCAGTCTGATGCAAGTTCATCTATAGCAAACAGCATTGAACTGGTACCATCAAGAACATTTTACAAGAAAAAAATGTTACTTACACGGCTTCCTTTTTCAGGGAAACACTGACATCCTCCACTGCAGTCTCTGCCTCCACATGGTCCTGTGTAAGTCTTTCCACCCTGCAAACCAGAACACACATAAAATGAAAGTTAAAAGGCATCAGCTACAATACCTGGCACAGCACAACAAGCTTTGATTAGCAGACTTGCTGGGAACTTGCCCAAAGACTGGGATCAGATCTATGACTTCCAGTTGAAACCTCTTTAATCTAAGCTTAGAAGCAGCCGTGAGTGGGTTTCGAGTTCTTGGAGATCAGCATCAAGAAATATAATGTTACTCTATTAATTTCCCTCCACATTTTCAAAACATTGCAGCTCCACGCTGAGCAGTTTCTCACACATCTTTTTGACACATGCAACAGATATCATATCACATAAGCGCAGCTGCTTGGATTCTTCAGGGACATGGACTAAATCCTAGGTCACAATGCAGCACATCCTTCTATGCATGCTCTAAATCATTGCTATACTTTAAAATATTTATGGGTGGACATAAAGGAAGTTGTAGGCATCATGTTCAAAATCATAAACCAAACTCCTGCCCTTTCCTCTGGCTGCCTATTCTGGAGGCACCTAAAACTTGATAGCAACCAACCACTGTGATCTAGAAGTTGGACCTGGATTAAGTAGATGGCTGCAGTTACATCTCTCCTGCCTGTCCAGGACCACCTTGGCCTGGGCTGCAAATATATGGATCACAAAATATGCATGACTCCATGCAAATCCTTGGATAGACTTCAACAGGCATGTCAGATCAGATGACACATGAAATGCAGCAGCCACAGTCACTCTTGTTCAGAAACCTGAACAGCAGAGATGCTGTGCTTGCTGTGGTGTGACTTTTATAACTGTAACTTAATAATTAGGAATACTGTGAAGACCAGCCTGCAGCCCACCAAAGCCCAAGGTTTTGAACCCTTTAAAGTGCCCCAGCAGCCTAGTAAGTAATCTGGGAAAGGAGGAAGGGATTTCTCATCACTGTTTCTCAGCCTGGTTTGCCCCACAGTGAATAATTAATAGAGCCAGAGGAAAGAGAAGGACTGAAGTCTCGTGGCTACAGGAAGGACATCTTGGAGCCACAGCTCTTCATTCAAGGCGGCTGCTAATTTTCAAATGCACCGCTCCTTAGACAAAACCTCAAAACACCCAGCTGTAGGGTACAGAGTCAAGCTCTATGTTTCTTTCTCCCCTCCTGACTTCAAGAACCCTGAATCCTTTGTTGCAGTGTATCAGGGACAAATGGTCCCTTCACCCTTCCTGCCTCCTTCATAGCTTGAGTACATCATCTCTTGGAAGGGAGGTGACAAGGATATAAACAAGCCTCCAAAACAAGATAGGTACTCTGGACTGCTATGCTGTTGCTTAAAAAAGGCAGTGATACAGCCATTCCTGCCTCTAGCCCTGCCTCAAGGAGCCAAAACACAGAGAGGGACCAACACCATCGTGTTTAGCATTTTTCATGCAGCTTTAAGCAATCCCCTACTCAACACTTGGGGTTGTTGGGTCACATTTCTCAGGCATCCACTTCTGCTGTTAGACTACCGAGAACCTGAAAACACAGCTCGAGTCTTTGGATTTCCCCATGGGAGCCAAATGAATAACAGGTATGGAGCAGGTACCAGTCGTTGCCTAAGTCCTCTGGTCTTATTTGTACAACAGGCTCTCAATCTTATGGCAAGCAGTAATACAAAGTTCCTAAAACAAGTTCTTATGCTTGTCATGAGAGTGTTCATGTCTATATTGCAACTCCTTCTATATACTAAAACACTTTTGTTTTAGCTTTCTATTTAATTCTCACATCGAATGAAACAAGTAGGCTTCCCATACTGATAAAACAGGTCCACAGAACTGAAACCATGCCCTGAACTATTCATGAAGGTTAGGTGTTTGATTCAGGAAATTATTTTATGGGCATAATAGTGCTCTACATCATGTTATGAACTCTGCTTTATGTTTAGGTTATTGTTTAGAGGCAGTTATAAACCAAGATAGTTTTATAAACTCCAGCAGCTTGCTCAGGTAGGGCCATCTTTTAGTTAAATGTTTGTCTGGTCGCAAACTCACTATTTCCGTGTTTTTTTCTGATTAAGCTATTTGCAGCTGAAATGTGCACCTTGGCTCAGTATTCTTAATTTCACAGTTTCCCCCTCAACCTCTTATTGGAAACTAAGAATAGTTTTGTTCATTTTTATGTACACTATGCAGATGCATGGCCTGTGTGAACATATTCGTCTGCAGGATGCAGGTCTTCATTAAGGAGCGGTGTACTAAGTAGTGCAGCCATCAATAAGAATCAACTCTGAAATTTCAGAGAGCTGTTTTGGTTGGAGCTGTAAATAACAGCATATTCCAGCCTAAGAGTAACAGACTGACAGATACTAATTTTATCATGTGAGTTTTCAATTATGCCTACTGAGAAAACAACAAGTAGAACAATAAGTTTATTTCTTTCTTAATTAGCAGAGTGACTCTAAATTTGGTAAACTGTTGCTAAGGAGAAAATAGAGTATGAATCAGAACTATGTCAAGACATTGGTGTACTTGTAAAAAACAAAGAAAAGGAGGCTGCTAATACTTATTTCAACTGGAAGAAGTTCAAGGTCTATTGTTTGTGTACTATCCACCATCCAACAATTTAATTTGCATGCTGTAACAATACCAGCAGCTAACGCAGGGACACAATTGTTTTCGTCCACAATTTTAGGAAGCTTTTTTTTAAAAAAAATTCTCATTATATGTCCTTTTATGCACATAGATTCTTCAGATAATGAAGAGAAAAATCTGGAAGATTTTCCAAAGGTGGTGAACATAATGGGAATACATCTGAGACCAGCATTAATATATCTCTTTTGGATTATACTTGGGTTCTCCTTATTGTCTACTTTCCACTTCTTCTCTTTTTGACTCTTAGTGGGATGACTCTTGGAGCTTTCAGTCACATGTAGCATTTTCTACTTTATTTATCTATGAATGTTTACAATTTCCCAAAGGCAGAACACTGCACTGTAATTTAATTGACATTACTGGGAAGCTACAGTATAAAACATAAGATTTAGAAGTTAGTGTTAAAAAATAGATCTGTTAAGGATCCTTACAAAACTTTATCAAAAACAGTTATGCATATGTGCACACTGTTGACATGAAGGGAAATCAAATGGACATGTATCAGTCAATAGCTAGAATGCAAAAAGCCCCGTTTAAAACTTAGTGGTGGACAAGGTAGCTTTAAAGATAAGGTAGCTTTAAAGCATCACAAGTATTCATCTCCTGAGGAAAAGAGATTTCTGGGAACACAACACCAATGGTGACAACCCAATGTAGTTCTGAACTGAGACAGTTGCCTGGACTACCTTTTTGGTCAGTGGGGAGAACAGTCAGTTTTAGGATACAGTTATCCCTGTCCCTCTAAAGCAATCAACTGCATCTCTCCCACAAAGTGCCTACTGCTTTCTCTTGACTGTACAGGCGAGTGGAGGTGACTAGCTTACATGCAGACATTCATCCACTGCAGAAGTCTAAGGACAGGTGGATGAATCTCCTGATTTGCTCAATATGCAGTTAAATGGTGAAAAGTATGTTTGCAGCAGAATGGTACTCTAGGATTTGTGCAACCAAGCTGGAAGACAGGCAACAGCCCCCAAATGTTGTCTGCTGAGAAAACCTTCAGTTCCAGGTCTTGCTCAGGTTTCGGATGATCCCAAATCCCACTAATCACTAAAAAGTCCAGAGTCTAGGCAGAGACTAGAAATGGGGTTTATATAATTTAAGATTTCTGTGATACAGGAACATCTGGCTATTACAGACCATTCAGAAAATCTCATCAGATCTATTTCAGACACCTGAGATAAATCTCATCCTAGAAGGATGAGGGCATTAGAAAGGCAGCCTAGGGTAACTAGTTGGGATGTGTCTACAGCGCAGGCGTCCAGTTTCAGGTGAGATGAATCCTACACTAAGTGCCCAAACCTCATCCTCAAAGCTAGGTATGGCCTCTGCTGGGAACACTGAGCGTAAGAAAAACCATTTAAGAGCAGACATATGGTATAAACACAAAATAGGTTATACCATTGCACTGGTATGCAAGCTCTTCGTGTGCAAGGTGCGGTATTGCCTAATTAGAATTAAGCTGCGAAGTCAAGGCAAAAGTATGTTAATTCTGACAAGAAATATGTAATGTAAATGAAATGTAACCAACATGAACCACAGGGTCAGATGTTTGTCTCATTTAGACAACTGTAATGGTAATACCATATTGAGCCAAAATTGTCTAGGTTATAGTTTCAGAAACACCAACTTCTGAGTATAACAAAATTGGGACTGATGAGGAAAAAGTAACTAGGAGTAGGTTGTTTATTTGGGAGGAGTATAGGCAGAGAAAAGGAGGTGCAAGGGTGGTAAAAGGGTGGAAAAGGAAAAAAAGAGGAACAAGACATCCAGTTAGGTGAAGAACAAAGACGGTGAATATATGCCAAGAGCAAGAGTTTGGACACCAGCAAGCAGCAGTGATGCTGACCTGAGGACACAAGCCCACCAGGAGTTCCCCTGGGAGAACTCACAGATGTCTCCACCAGTCATGCCTCTGAAAGACTTGCTGTGGGAAGGTGGAGTAAGCAGGGATAAACTTGTAAGGAAGGATAGGCTTACACCTGAATACGAATTGCAGGAGAAAAGGCAATAGAATTGCAACTCAATAACCCTTTTGTGCGATTTATAAGATTTCTTTATAGTAATTTTGTGTGAATACGAATGCCAACAATAAGCAATAGAATTGGAATTAAATGTTTCTTGCAGTGATGCAATTGTGAATTAATACTACTAACAACAGTAGTGCATTATTTGGCCAATTAAAGTATTATTAGGTTCTTAGAGGCATGTTCTTTAATCAATAAACATAATTTATATCTTGCATCTGCAGTCAAAAGGGGCAGAGTTGGATTTGCCAAGTAAGATCCTTCTACAAGCCTCCAATTCATCCTGGAGGCACCAAGACATCCTGTCCATCTCCTCCTCCTGCTGGCGGAGGGCAGTTTTGCTTCTGGTCACGCATACAAGTATATGCC